TGTGTGTGTGTGTGTGTGTGTGGTCCTGGGGATGGAGCACAGAGTCCCAGACACACTAGGAAAGTACTCTCTCTACCATTGAGCTATAGCCCAGCTGGGTTGACCCGTGGATAGCATCAGAACCTTATGATCCAATCACTCTGTAACGCCCCCACTTCTGAATATTGCTGTCTTGGGGACCCGGCCTTTAACACACAAGCCTTTGGAAGACATTTTCAATCCAAGCCATGATAGTGGTGGATAGCAGAGTAGATGGTGTGGAGGACAGAGGGAAAGGTCACAGTCACACACTGTGAAAATTGAAAGTCAGTGAAACCGTTGGCTCTGGGGATGTCTAGTGACTGCACGATGTTAATTTTTCTTCTGTGAGTTTCCATGCTTCCTAAAGTATCTGGGGAATTGAAAATTAGTAATTCTGGGGCTGGAGAGATGGTTCAGTGGTTAAGAGCGCTGGCTGCTCTTCCAGAGGACCCAGGTTCAATTCCCAGCACCCACATGGCAGCTCATCACTATCTGTAACTCCAGTTTCAGGGGACCCGATACCCATGGCAAAACACTCATGCACATAAAATAAAAAGCAAATTAAAAATTGGTAATTCTACAAACAGGTGTGGAGACGCAGGTGGGTGTCTGAGTAGTTCAAGCCGGTTGGCGCCCATGACATCAACAGCAGACAGGCCTCCGGCACCTCACCATGCCCCTCCTCCTGGATTATGGGACAGGGGTAGGTGTTCGGAATAGGGGGTGGGATTCAAACTTGAGAGAGTGTAATAAGGACTCCAGAGGAAGTGAGCTTGAGGATCAAACTTTCCTCTCAGGGCTTTAAAGCTGGGAAACAGAGTAACAAAGTTGTCCTGACTTTGTCCTGCTCTAGGCACCCCTAAGTCATCCACTATCTCAGGTTTAGGGTGCTTGTAGCTAGTTGATGGGGACTGAACAATGGCATTGGAGACTCCTTGTGGCAGCCTCTAAGGAGCTTTCTGAAGAGAAAACTGTAGAAAACTTCAGCTACATACTGGGGCCTCCCAAAGAGCCACGCTCACTTAAAGCAGGCTGTCTTTTTAGTGATGGAGTTCTAGGACATCTCCAATGTTGTACCTGTTGTGAGTCCCACCAGCAGGAAGGTGAGTGTGAGAGTGTGCTCAGGGTTTTGCACACTTCCTCAGGACATAGAACCTGTGCAAGCTGAGGAGATGGAGTCAAGCCAAGGGAAGCACAGTTGGGGCGCTGGGCCTTGAAAGGGAGCAGAGACCCCCCCTCCCCCCCTATCCCCCCCCCCGCAGTGAGGTGTCCAGCCACAAGAGGTGGTATGTCCTTACATTGTTTTCTTAAATATTTGTTAGCTCCGATTTCACATGGAATGGAAAGAGAGAGTTCCCACACAGCCCTTTACTCCCCCAGACAGTGAGGAAGAACACAGAGTTTGGAATTGGGCTCTTGAGGAAGAGTTTTCATTCTTGACTTTGCCACTTTGGCCTAACGTTTGACGTTCTGGTCTCTCCTCCTGTGCTTCCTACAGATTCTGACTAAGATGGGGATGGCTAACAGGAGAATCTTTGACGGCCTCCCACTTAATAGTCTGTCCCTCCTCAGCTCGTCCTCAGCCCGTTTGGCTGCAGTTTATGCTGAGACCCATTGGCGCCAGAACATTGCTCTCTGTTCGCATGCCTGTTCCGGTGACCCTGAACCACTTTAAAATGGTTCTACTCCAGATAGAGTTCAAAGTAATGTCAAGCAATCCGGATCCCACTCCTGGGGTGCAAAGCCAGGGACCTGCTGGGCTAGCCAGAGGCACTGGCGAGAGTTTGTGTCATGTGGCACTGTATTGTCACTCCCAAATACTCCTTCAGTCTGTGTCAGAGCTCGTCCCTGCCCCACATTACCAGGACCTGCCACTTCAGCCTCCAGCGGTTTTGAACTTGTGCCTTAGGACAAGACCCGCATTCCTCAGTGTGGGTATCTCTAGAGGCCGCCTGCCTCCACCCTGTTCACACTGCTGCCAGGCTGGGGGTAAGAACTCCACCCAAAGTGTGCCAGGCTCATTCTATACCGGTTTTGTTCAGTTTTCCTAAAAATTGATGGGAGAACTATACTTAGCTGAATACGCCTTCATTTTTGAGAGCTATGGAATCATGCCCTGGAATCTGCCCCACATCCAGGTGCCCAGATCTCCCAGTATTGCTCATGTTTCTGTGGGAAATAACTAGGATCTCATCCCTGTTGGTGAACTCCTTTTCATCCAGCAAAACTAAAGGATTCATCCGTGAGCCATCAGTTCCAGAAGAACTGGGTCTCTGTGGTAACCACTGGTAACCACTCTGGAGGGGCTTGGCTTTCAGTGCCTACCCATTACAGCATGATGCTCTGGGTGTGATATAGTTGCTTTCAGATCTCCTCTGCAGAGGTGAAAATTAACCACCTGGGAGACGTTTATCTAAAAGCACTTATCACCTGTGCTTGGAAAATCACGGTGCGGAATATAGGTAAATCAGCCTAGAGTATTTATCAGTCTACCTCTCACTGTACTTCAGTAGAGCCATACTACCCCCACCCCGCCCCGCTCAGGAAAGTTTGCCTCTCTACCTACATCTTCCCTCAAAGACCCACGGGAAACTGTAGTAGTCACTTAGGAAACGGCCCTTGTGAAGTTCCTGGAGACTGACTAAATCTACATTTCACCCCAGCCTCAGAGTAGGCCCGTAAATAATTTGGCACATCCTTTGCTTAAGAATCACACAGAGGATTACGTCATTCATTCCCTCTACCATCTATTATTCCCTTACTTCCGACAGCTGCAGATCTCCCGTTGTGGGATCCGTGGGCACATGATCCAGTCTGAGCCAATCAGAACCTTACGTTCCTCTGAGCATGTGAAAGGTTAAGGTTGAGCTCATCCTGATGATGGAGCCTCCAGGTTAGGATGAATTATTTAACTCTCAGGGGAAGCGCTGGACAGGACTCTTCGCTCTACTTAGAAGCTTACTCTCCGGAGAGATAAGCGGTGGGCATAAACTGATATAAAATAACCAGAGATGAGAGAAGAGCCAGACCCTAACGGTAACATTCCGCAGCTGGGTCAGATTGGGCCCGGAGACCACTGATGCTCAATTTTTTAGTCATATAAGAAATTCCTTTCTTCTTAAATGATTTGGGTTGAATTTTCTTTCACTTATGCCCCAGAGTCCTAACTGATATTCCACCCAAGGGCATTCTTTCCTCCCCACAGGACATTGTTATATCCACAACAAAGTGTTCCTTTAAAGGAACGTTTCCTAGCAATCCTTCCCCTAATCAGCAGGTGAAAGAGTCCTTCACCCACGGGGTTCACCAACATTAAACCCAGTCCTCATCCTGCACCTCCCTCTCCCCACACAGCATCAGCGGGTCTAAAACATCCCAGGCACCCAGCAACTTCTCACCTCTTCCATTTCCTGGAAGTCTGCAGCCCCAGAGAGAACGTCAGAGCACAAGGCAGATCACTCTGTCTGACGACCCCTCAGCTACTCCCCACCTGCTGGTTTCTTTAAATCTCTCCTACCCACCCCAGCTCTTATTCCTCAAGTTACCCCAGGGAAAGCTCTTTTATGCCAGAACGGGAATTCAGGCTCCAACTCGCACGCTTGTCCTTCTTTCATGGCCTTATTTCTCCTCAAAGAACCACAGTCGTCACTAAACGTGTGTGATAATTGTCTCCCTACAGTGCCTTCAGCTACAGGTAGCAAGTACAGCAGTACAACAATTGTGCTATTCTGTCCGCCGCAGTGTCTGATGTTCCATGGTCTCCCAGTGGAAGGTGTTCCAAGTGAAGACAGCTTTCTCGGTTTTTCTGCCTTGACTTGAATCAATGCTGACATATAATGTCCAGGAAACCATGCCAGGGAACATCAAGATCATGACGATGGGGAAACCCACAGAGATGGCTGCCCGGAGCTTGTGGGAGCTCATGGACTCTGGAGGGACAGCTAGGGAGTCGGCAAGGGACCCACCTGGACCCTCGGCATTTGGGAGACAGTTGTGTAGCTTGGTCTTTTGTGGGGCCCCTAGCAGTGGGACCAGGACCTGTCCCTGATGCATGAGCTGGCTTTTTGGAACCTATTCCCTATGGTGGGACGCCTTGTTCAGCCTTGATGCAGGGGGAGGAGCTTGGTCCTGCCCAACTTGATAGGCCATGCTTTGTGGACTCCCAGGGGAGGCCTTACCCCATCTGAATGGAGGAAGGAGGAGTGGGGGGGGGGAGAAGGGAGGTGGGGGAGAGAGCAGGGGGAGAGGAAGGAGGGCAAACTGTGATAGGTATGTAAAATAAAAGAAAGGAAAAAACAAACAAAAATCCATGCCACTGAGCGTAAGCTCCTACTCCTGGCCTGGATTTGACTGACTTACGTTGCTGTAGTTTGGATCTTAAGTGTCTCCCAAAGACCTATGCACTATCTTTAAGCTCCATGTACAGATGAAAAACTGAAGCCTAAGTCAAGCTGGGCGTGGTGGTATGTATAGTCCTGTGATTACAGCATTTGGGAAACAGAAGCAGGAGGATCCAGAGTTCAAGGTCATCTTGAGCTACATATTAAGTTTTAAGACAGCCTTAGCTGTCAGAGAACCTGCCTCAGGAATACAACAACAAAACTTTTAAAAAGAAAACAACAACGAAAACTTAAAACAAAACAAAACAAAAACAAAAAACAAACCCCCAAACCAAACCAAACAAAAAAACAAAAAACCAAGCAGTGTCCAGGCCCACCAGTGGCAGAGCCTGGACTTGAAGCAGGCGGTCTGTCTCCTGCACCCACGCTCTCTGTCACTTTGCTATGGTCTTCTCAGATCTACCTGCACCTGATGTTTGGAGACATGTCAGAGCAGACAGCCTCTCTGCACACGCCCCTACCTTCCCCGCAGCGGTGGCTCTAATCTCAAACTCCAGCTTTGCTGCTACTGACTGTGTGTGTGATCTCTGGGGCTCCATCCCACCATCTATCTGTAAACTGAAATCCATCCAGGGACCCCCAAAACCTCCAGCTCCTCCCCAGAGAGCCCGCTTCCTCCTGGAGACTCACAGGCTTGGAAATACTCCTCTCCGTAGCTGTCCCGGGTCTCCTGAGGCAGCCGGTCCCACAGCTTCTTCATCCGAGACGGCAGCGCTTCCTGACCCAGGATGGACGTCCGGTAGTTCCCTGGCTCAATTATGCTGACCTTCACCCCAAAGAAGTGAAGCTCTCGCCTGTGAGATGAAGAGTTGCATTTGGTCTAGCCTCATGACGACAGGCATCAGAGACACCTTCGGAGGGACCTGTCTCTCCTGAAACCTGGAGGTGTTCATGCCGTCATTGGGCTAATTTCAACACTGCCTTCATGCAAATAAGCTTTCCTTAGGACCTCATTCCTTTCCCAAACTGATCCAGTAGTCTGGGGCAATTTGCATTAGGCAAAGCCAACAGGAACTCGGTGGAGAATCTAGGTCAAGGTCTTGCCTCCTCCCAGGTTCTTTCCACTCAGCCCTACGCCCATTGCCCATGTGACAAGAGGTATAAGGGGATCTGTAAGAAGACTGGCATCCTCTGAGGGGCTTCCAGGGGCACCTCTGCCCCAGGACTCCCTCTATACACACTCTCTCTCCCCCCCCCCTCCAGCCTCCCCTTGACTCTTCCCCCACAATGGGGTTTCCCTCACTCTGGGTCCACCCAAGGGAAGATCCACCTGATGCCTTCTATCCTTATTCCGCAGGGTCCCCTCCTCCTCGCTTCTTTTCTTGGTCCTGAGTTAAATTCTTCTCCCCAGAACTACCCCGCCCCCACACTGACATGCTCAGACCTCTGTTACCGAGTTAAAGCCCCAAGACCCCCCACTGGCTTGGTACCAGGACCCAGTCACCTGATGCTATCAGAGAAGGCTTCGACTCCAAACTTGGAGACACAGTAACCACCGCCGATGACGGCCACACGACCACCAGAACTGGACATGTTGACCACCCTGCCCCGGGCCTTCTTGATCATAGGCAGCATGTTCAGGGTGACTTCAATCAGTCCCACCAGGTTCACATTGATGACTTTCACAAAGTCTTCTTTGGTCAGCCACTCATTGGGACCACTGGGCAGGGCCACACCAGCATTGTTCACTAGGGCCCAGAGGCCTAGGGTGAGAGAGAGAAAGGTAGAGAGAACCATGCAGGGATCAGCAACTTCTCTGGGAGAGTTCCAGGGGCCACTACCGATAGCTGAGGATGGCAGAGCAGGGGGACAACACCTAGGGGCAGTGGGCAGATACACTCAAGGATGGTGTGTGGCTTGGGACAGCCATGAGAGCTACAGCAAGCTGAAGGCCAGATGCTTGCAGTTCCCAATGGAACCCTTTCCCCTCCCCGATTCCCGTGGTCTGCCAACTGAGCCAGGCTCTGTACCAGCTGTAACCAAGGCTGTGCGCTAACCCGTGGCTCTGAAGCCATGAGATACGGGCTAAGAGACACGGTTTTCATACAAGCGGATGGGTGCTTGAATTCTCCACCGATCATCATCCATCCTTGTCTCTACTCTTCCAAGTAGAAAAAGTTTCAGTTCACAGTTACCAGATCAGCCCATTCATTCATTCATTCATTCATTCATTCATTCATTCATTCATTCATTCATGTAGAAAATGTCATTCATTCATTCATTCATTCATTCATTCATTCAGGTTTCTGCTCTGTGCCTGTTACTTAAGCAAAGGAGACATAAAATGAGTAAGTTGGGGATCTTAAGCCTCTAGAAAGAAAAGCGTGCTTAGAGTATTTATAGATAAATGCATAAGAACATTTAAATATGATACTCATGGAAATGGGATAAGGGTTCTCTTCAAATTAGGAAAGTAGGGCTGGTGAAAATCAGTGTGGTTATCCAGTTCTACAGCGCCTCAGGGTCGAAGAAGCCCGGGTTCCAGGTCTGGTTCTGATTCCAGCCTTGGACAAGTCCCTTCCCTCCCTGGGCCTGGGGCTCCTCATCAAACAACACCAGGACAGTTCCCACAAGCTTGCTGGGGCGGGGGCTGTGGGAGAAAGCATTCCTTCCATTTGTTTTATGAATTGAGCTTTTGAGTGAAATACCAGCAGGGGAGGTGATCATAGAAACAGTGCAAGCTGCTCCCTCCACCAGGGATCCCATGTGCCCCAACCCCTGATCCCTCCAGTCTTTTCCCTGGTAGAGTTCCATTTTGATTGACAGAGCCTCAAGACACTCTGGCGTACCACAGCGCACTCTCTCTCCTGAGGGCAGGGCTGGATGCAAGCATCAATTACGACCCATCTTTCCCCTGGCTCTGGAGTCCCCACCTAAGCCATGCCTCTCCCCATCTTATCCCTTCTTCAAATTAGAGAGGCGGAAGGAGGACAGCTGGCTGGTAGGACTTAGGGCCTTCCCAGCTAAGGGAACTCTCTCTTACAGAGGAGAAAATGAGGCCCCCGAGACCCAAAGATCCTAACACTCGAGTGGTCTCTGCTCTAGAGAGGGCCACGGACCACCGATGCCTCTGATAGAGCACTGGAGAATCAGGGTGTATTTTTTCTTGGCTTTCCTACAAGGAATAATTAGAGGGGGCTCGAGAGATGGCTCAGCAGTTAAGAGCTCTGACTGTTCTTCCTAAGGACCTGGGTTCAATTCACAGCACCCACGTGGCAGCTAAGAACTGTCTGTGACTCCAAGATCTGACACCATCACATAGACGCACATGCAGGCAAAACACCAATGCAAACGAAATAAAAATAAATAATTAAAAAAAAAGATTAATTAGAGAATAGAGCAGGGCAAACAACTCTAAGTCTGTGCCTACAGGAGGCCATCTATCCTCCTGCCTCGGTTTGTTGAGGTCCAGGATGCATCACTTCGCCTAATCCCTAGCGCTTCTTTTGTGAAAAATGTTGCCCAGTGGCACATGCAGAATAATAGTCCTCCAAAGATGTCACCATCACAGGAACCTGAGAGTTTGTTAGGTGGTGTGGGAAAGGGAGAGTTAAGACTATAGGTGGAAGGAAGGCAGTTAATCAATTGACCTTAAGCTGGAGACATTACCCCAAGTTCACCAGGTAAGCCCATACGACCGCAGGACACCTAAGTGGAGGAAGAATGCAGGAGCCAGAGAACCAGAGAAACGAAAAAGCATAAAGAGGACATGGCCCGAGCTCACTGGAAGAGGGAGTGGGCCATGAGCATAAGGATCTCAGAATAGTGTCGGCAGCCTCCGAAGGTGGAAACTCCTGCCCCAGAGCCCTCAAAATGAGTGTGGCTCTGCCGAGACCTTGACTAGTGAGAACCATTTTGGACTTACTTCCTCCAGAATTATGGGGTAATAAATGCCTGTTGTTTAACCCACCACATTTGCATGGATTTGTTACAGCAACCATAGGAGACTGATACACCCAGTGAGTCATGATCACAAATGGCTGGAGGCTGAATTCAGGGAACAGGCTGAGACAGCGTGGTAGAAGAGGCTCACCCTTGCTGAATTATTCATTAATTAACTCATTCAACAAATATTTATTAGGCACCTTCCTGGGTGTCCTAGGTACTAAGGACATGGAATGAGAAAAAGAGACATAGACCACTCTCAGGAGGCTTTATTCCAGCAGAGAAAACAGATGATAAAGAAAGAAAGGGCCAGTAGCCTGGCTCAGCAGATAAGGGTGTCTGCAGCACAAGCCTGACGCCTGAGTTTAACACCCAGGGCTCACCTGGGGGAGAGAACTGACTTCCAAGTTATCCTCTGACTTTCACATACATTTTTCCTACTCTGTTTTCTTTTTCTGTAATTCCAGATCCACAGAGCCAATGCTCTCCTCTGGCCTCTTCATGCACTGTACACACACACACACACACACACACACACCACACAAGTGCACACACACACACACACACACAAGCACACACACACACAAGCACACACACACATACACACACCAATAATAATAATGGTATATTTTTTTTAAAAAAAGCTGAAACGTATTATGTACTGGACAGGGCTAAATGCTAGAGTTGTTGACCCCACCTGGGCAGAGGCCCAGCGATTCTTCAGAACCAAATACTTCCCTGCAGTCTCTGTTCCAGTAACCAAACAATCCTGTGTCCACGCCCTGCATGCTACAAGCTCCCCAGGCAAGTCCCAGTGTATTCGTGGAACAGCCTCCAACACAGGCTCCTTTTCCAATGGGAGCAACCCCCTGCTGGAGGCAGCAGCCTCTGTGGTGGTGTACAGAAGAGACGGGCTGCCCCACTAAGATTTCCACCGCTTGCCCCTTCGTTATGGCTCCTAGCCTCAGCCCTCCGAGAAACACGACCACACTTCCATGGGAGCCAATACTGGGACTCCTGAAGTCTCCAGAAACCACCTCTGTCTTTGGAGGTTTGAACATTCAGAACATTCTAGCTGCTGCCTCTGTCCTGAACCTCTGAGGGAGAAAACGTCCTCAGGAGAAAATGTTGCTTTCTCATGTCTACTGGCCAAACCATGCAATGATTCCAGATTTAACTGCACCAGAGCCTCTTGGCCCTATTCCTATTTTATCTCTCCAACTCCATTTTCACGTCAGGATCCTGGGGGGGGGGGG